GAGCACTGTGATTACACTGAACCCACTTGGATAATCACCCCATCGCAAGATCCTCAACTTACATCAGCAAAGGTCCTTTCACCATAAGAGGAACACATTCACGGGTTCTGAGGATTAGGAGGTCAACATCTTTCGGGGGGATATGATTCAGCCTAGCACAACCTAGGCTCTGCGACCTGCCCGCTGCCCCCAAACACAGCAGCAGGTGCACTCGGCGCAAGGCCTGTGCACTTGCTACTCACCTCTGCGGAGACCTGCACAGCGTTCTTGCTCCCTCCTTCGGGTCTTTGCTCAAAGGCCACCTTGTCTGTGAAGGTTTCCCAAGCCACTTAAAAGTGGCCCCCAGCATCACCTCTGCTGTCTGGTTTTTCTCCACTGCAGTTATCACCATAAAGGGCAAGCTTTCAGAGGGACAAGGGTTTCTTTCTTTGTGCTTTGTTCACTGCGGTACTCACTGTGTAGGACATTACATGGCATACAGTAGGCCCTCTGTACATAACTCAGTGAAAAGAGTAAGTCAGTTTTTTTTTAATTCAACATTTTAATAAACTAGATTGCTTGTATTTTCAAAGGTCAGCTTCTGGCGTGTGCTGCCCTCAGCAGGCCCTGACTTTCTTATTCAAATACAATCTTTTATGCTGTGCTTTTTTTTTCTGTGAAACTTTAATATGGAAAACTTAGCAAAAACACAAAAGTAAAGTGGGCAGTATAAAGAACTCCCAAGTACCCACCACTCAGCTGAAACCATCATCAATACCGGTTTGCCACTCTCATTTCAACCAGCCCCTCCCTTTCTTTCCAGAGCTCTTTGCTTTTTCACAAGTCCTGTCTAAAGGGGGCAGCCACGGCAACCTGGCGGAGTAAAAGGAAACTCCTCAGGATGCTTGGGTCCCGAGCCTGCGCACAACTTCTTGGGAGAGAGAGAGGTCCGGTGGAAGGTGAAAGTTAAGAACTAAGGGACCCCTGCCAGCAACAACGGTTCTTCAGAATCATTTCTGCTATGAAAATCAATTTAGCTGCACTTGGCTATGGATTCCTGCTTTTAAAGACTTCATTAAGATCTTTAACCATAAATCCTCAGCTTTTAGTTTCTCCTATTTGGACATCTGGGAAGATCATAAGATCACATTTTTCGTGAAACCTGAAATATCATTACCCAACATACTGGCTTTAGTTCCAGAATCACTTACTTATTTAGATGACACCTACTTCCTGCTCACCAGTTTGTTCCTAAATCTTAGGTCTGTGACCTCTGCACCTTGCCTCTTTTTCTCTGTTGCCCTCTTTACACACAATTTTCCACCTTTTGTTTGAAAAACACAACAGTGTTACCTACGCAGCTAAACTTCTAAAATGACACATCAGGAAATACACGTAACTAAACTGCGTGTTAAAAATGCGACTTTAAAGAGACTCGTAGGTAAGGGGAGCAGAGACAGGGGACAGGGAAGGAGGTGACTGTGGCTACAGGAAGGCAGCCCAGACAGCCTCGCTGGTGAACGCTCCGCACCTGCACTGCGGCCACATGGCGGAGGACTAAACACACACACACACAAACAAGAGCGTGGAAAACTGGTGAGACGTGCACAGGCTCTGCGGACCACGCCAACGCCAGCTTCCTGGTGTTCCTATTGCTCCTCCAAAGGAGAAGGCCCAGGGAAGTGTATGCAGGGACCTCTCAGTATTATGTTTTGCAACTTCCTGTGAATTTATAATTATCTTAAGTTTGGTTTTTTTAATGAATGTTGAGCCCTGGCTGGTGTGGCTCAGTGGACTGAGTGCCGGTCTGCAAACCAAAGGGTTGCTGGTTCGATTCCCTGTCAGGCACATGTCTGTTGCAGGCCAGGTCCCCAGTAGGGGAAGCACGAGAGGCAACCACACACTGATGTTTCTCACCTTCTTTTTCTCCCTGCCTTTCCCTCTCTCTAAAAATAAATCAATAAAATCTTTAAAAAAGTAAATGAATGTTGGTAAATACCTAAAAACCTCTACTCCTGAGAATTATTCATGCCGTAAACAACAGCACACTTACCCTTCTCATAAAAACTAAACAATTGCCTATTTTTGAAATCAATAATTTTGTAATTATTATTCATTTAAAAATATCACCCCTTAAAGTGCCAGGAATCCTGTGGGCACACGTGATGAAATGACCACGACATCATAAACGGAAGATGGTAAAGCTGTTCGATGCACTGCCCAGTGAGCAACTTGGCTTACTAAAAGACGTACTGTTTCCAAGACATTTCAGTTCGGTACACTCCCACAGAGGTACTAAGTCCCCGGAGGGACAACTATTGACAGCACGGAGCTGGAGAGGTCAGCATCAAAAGCACGCAGGGGTCACTAACGGGGTGGGGCTTTCTGTTGGAAAGCGGAAAGCCTCACATCGCAGAAAGAGAGGGGATGCAGAAAGGCCACCAAGTTGGAGCCAAGTCGGTTCTCGAGCATCGAGCATCGTCTGTGGCATAATCAAATCTCCAAAGTCCTCCCCGCTCGGGGTTCCTTCCTATGAGCCAGTTACCATTTTGGCCTAAAGATCTAAGCAAACAGGTTTTTTCTAAGGGCACACATACCGTCCGCGGAGCCAATTCCACATAACTGGCCCGATTTCACTACAGTCCCGAGGTGGCGCCATTAAAAGAGAGACAGAGCGCGAGACAGAGAGTGAGCCCCTCTACAGTAAAGTCATAAAGCAGCAGGACAGTCCACTCAACAGAAGGACTTCTTCCCTGTTTCAAAAATAAAAACACCACGAGAAACAAATGAAAATGCTACTTATCTTTGTTATGTTGTGGTTTTATTTTAACGCTTGGGAAAAAAACAAAGCCAATTCTAGCAAGTACTGGCCATCCATGGTCATCTTCATGTAACAGCTCTTAGGGATTCTGTTTAAAATATATTCTATTCTTATACACGTGCTCTAAAAGTGAGGTTTTAAAAAAAACAAACCCAAATCCAGCTGGCCAAAAAGGGAAGAATTCTGGTGGACAATTGGACCACTGTGTCGCAAATTACACTGTTCACACCTGCAGAGTAATCTCAGCAGCAGAGCCAGTCCCCCCTGAAATGCAGCCCCATTGTGCCCAGAGGAGGATCTCCTCTTCCACGAGATCCTATCTGTCGCTGATAAACCCTCTGGATGAGAAAACCAGCAGCAGATGTGAAAACCACATGGCCCTCTACAAAGCGAGAGAGCAAAAAGCAATGTTAAAAGAAAAGATTCCTTAAACAGCAGCTCCCTATCAAGAATGAAGATTTTATCATCTAATGCTGACTCTGTGGAAAGCAGCGAGCTATCAGCCCCTGTTCCAAGACTCCAGCTCACAGGATCAGGCTGACATCCAGAAGTTGGACTCACTCAGCTACACCCTTGTTTTCAACTCTTGGGAACAGGGCCAAGGTGTAAAGTTAGAATATAACAAATGCCGTTTGCAGGGGAAAGAAGACGACAATGCAGGTACTCTTACTCAGTGTAACTGATAGGCTCTGAGCGCGGTTTACACTCCAGTGCATTTTTATTTAGTGAATTTTAGCCTTTGAATAATTTCTTCCATAATTTCCCAAAGATTTCTACTCTCTGCATCAAAAAAAGACTTGCCAGCATCCCCACTGAAGAGATACTGTGGCAATCAAGAATACTGAAAATTTTTTCAAATTCTTATTTAAGTGGAAAAATAAAGGTTGGGGCAAAAATATGTTTAAGTTGTGAATACACAAAACCCAGAGTTTTTTCTTGTATTATTATTTATTAAATGTTGTATTCTTTTCCATACAAAGAACTGTAAGCCTGCTCTTGCCCCATCCTGTAATTTTGATTAAGCAAAACACTTCATAAAGAAATAGCATGAAAGCAAAAACCCTCTCAGTTGTCCTGTGTTGTGTGTGATTTCACTGAACTGCCATAGAAATAGCAAGCTCTAGACTCTCAACGTGGCTACAGTCTTCACCACTCCCTAACTGCCTGAACACTTTTAACTTCACGTTCTTGGTGGCACTTGGGACTGCAGCTCTCCTACCCCTCAGTTTTACCAAACCCTTTCTTTGGAAGCTCTAGACACGTGTGTAAAATCATTCTATAATCCAGAGGTGGGAAGTGGCAACCACCAAGCAAATTCATTCTTTGGCATTAGATGGGCAATGGATATTCCAGTGTCCTCTGGGCAACACGGCTGTCCGTGAAAAGCCAGTGGTTAGCAATCATATACACATTTAACTTGTGAGAAATTATACGCTCGTCCCCAAAAAGAAAAGAAGAGACTAATTTTAATGGCCTAACCCCTTGCCTCTCAAAACATGGCAAAGCCACACTGGCACCACCTGGTTAGAAATACAGATTACCGGGCCCCACCCTGGACCTCCTGAGAATAGATTTGCATTTTATCAAGATCCCCTGTGACTCTCGTGCACAATGAAGTTTGGCCCAGACGCTACCTCCCACCGCTCCGCCCGGCGAACGTCTGCCCCAGAGCGAGCGTGAGACGGGCGGCACTGGCCTGCGATTCCCTGGGGGGTCTCAGGTCTCACGTGCCTCGCACCTCGCTGAGTGGGCTGCTGGTGTTTAAAGGGTAATTTGGACTATACGCCTAAAACATGACTTCACTGTTCTGTCCCCAGGTTGACCCTCAGCTCCCAGCCCAACGGGCCGGCTTGAGTAAACCGAGGGCTCGCACCCTCGCGCTGAACACGGGGAGGACGGTAGCGGCTCAGGCTAGTTCAGCACAGAGTGGTCAGCCTCGCGCACGCAGCCCCAGGCCAGCCACGACTCAGACCGCGGGGAGAACGGAGCTCCTGAGCAGACGGTCACAGACGGACGAACGCCAAGTGCCGACGTGGAACAACTCTTAGTTCAAGGCGCCTTCCTTCAAGGAAAGCTGCTACCCAACCCATTACTTCTTCAAAGCTGGTCACTCCGTAAGGAAATTTCTGTTACGGAGGAGCTCCCTATGCTTTAATTACATACGTAGGTAAATCTGGCACATCGGTTAACAGCAGCTCACCTGCGCACACCTTCCCAGGTCTCTCCTGTCCAGGTACTGAAATATATTGATTGCCAGTTCATACGGCAGCTGGATATCAAAGAAGGGCACGTCGTCCATTTCATCCTGAGGACAGAAAGGGAAAGGAAATGAGCTCACAGGTCTGAATGTGGAAATGCTCGTATTTCCAGGCCCTTTAAATGACCAGTGACACCCTCAGGCAGCAACGGGAGCGCTATGGTGCATCCCAGGAGAAGCCAACCCTTCTCACAGTTCGGCTGAGCCCACAGAACTCACTCAGAACTGGACAACCACTCTCAGTTCTCGACCGCCCCCCAAGTCCACCCCCACATCCACGTCTGAAACCCACAAGACCGTTTCCCACCATGCCTCACAAGGAGAAGCAGTGCCATCGTACAAGTTGGGGTGTGCCAGGTATCTGGGTGGAGGTTTGGGGGGGCCTCCTGGCTTCTAAGGCAAGGTGAGCGGCAGGCAGCCAAGAGAGCGAGCCTTGAAATCGGGGAGGCCGTCAGCCCCCTCAGGACAGCTGCTGCCACCCCACCAACCTGGAAGGGGTGAGTACCCCACCGCCACAGGAGAAATGCTGACCCGGGTCACTCAAGTGTTTTCATCAGGAAAAGGGGAATAGGGCCGTGAACATGAGCAAAAAGCAAATAAATGAAATGCTGCTCTTGAGTGGGGCGAACAGCATCCCGCCGCGGCCGCCGGAGAGGCGCGAGGTTCCCTAATGCACTCGGGGGCGCACACCGGTTAACCTGAGTGAGCCAGTGCAAACAAAGCAGTTCTTCTTCGGTGTCATTTATTAATGCAGAGAAATTAGAGCTCGTCTGCCTCTGGATAAGCAATTAGGGATGAGGTAACAGGCTTCATTGGAGAGATAAGGCGGTCACAACGATCCTGGTAGCACAAAGAAATGTGAGTGTGAGACAGAAAAAAACCCCAAGCGTGCACACGCGCCCTCCACCTGCTCCCAAACCCACCTGCCACTGCTCGCTCCGGAGTTTGCATCTGCAGAGCTCTGCCAAGCAGCGCTCTCTGTCCCAACAGAAATTGCTTAATAAAATTCATCTTTAATAAGCTTTGACTGACATCAGTGACTTTCTGGTTGCAAACAAATGACTAATTCATCACTCAAACACAACACTCATTTATGGAAAGGGTGAAGTCTCAAAACTGAAAGAGTCTCAGCATTTTTAAGACAGTGTGGGCACAACTTTAAACCCTACCAAGACTCAAGGCACAGATTTTTCTGGAATCGTGGTTTCCATTCTTCTAGGAGTCTCGGGGCTAGAAGATGATCCAGGGCACAAGAAGGAAATGTATTTAACTACAAAAACAGTGCGAGTTAAGTGTGAGGGCCAAAAAGGACCTCCAGGGGGGAAAAGAGTAAGAGATGACAGCTTGTTGTGGGCAAAGAAGGAACAGGATGTTAAGTCAAGAGAGAAATGTTGGCTGTGGGGGGGGGGGGGGGAGGAACAGGGGAAAATCTGCACGTGTAACTGGAAGACAAAGGGGTCCTTGCCTAAAACAACAGTGGGGAGTCATCGGTCTCATGTCGGGCTCCGTCCTCTCCCACAACTAATTGGCTTCACTCGCCAAGGAAATGTGGCATCACTCTCTCTAGCCCAGATGCACTTGAGACCCCTCAACACGACCCTGGAGGCCGTCACAGGTGATGGGCGGGGGGGGGGGGGTGTCCCAACGAGGCGAGACTATCATCTGCAAGCCCGTGCTTCCTCTTTCAGAGTCTCTGAGCACAGTGAGATGGAGAAGCCCACCTCGCCTATTCACGGAAGCAGCAAGAGAAAAGCGCTCCCTATCCTCAAACAAGCGGAATAAAGGCAAAGGAAAGCCTGGGCTCGTGCAAACTGAACTTAGCTTTTCGCTGCTAAGAAGCGTGCCAAGCTCTGCTCTCTTCCGCCGGGCGCCCCGGGACTCACTCGCTGTAAACTGGAGTCTGGACCTGACGCTGCTGTGAGCTGCTGTGAAGAAGCACGAGAAGTCGCCTGTCGCGGGCTATTCTGGTGCGGGGAAAGTCGCAGTTCCGGGGGCGGCAGCCTTCCCTCCCCTGCCTGTCGGGGGGACCGATTCTCTCGTCTCACCCTGGAATCCAGCGCCCCTGCTTCAGCGGACCCCAACCCTGCCATCGTGCCCTGTGATCCCGACCACCGATATCTCAGGGCGCGGCCCAGCACGGGAGTTTGCAGCCAAGATTCACACTGAGGACGCTGGCTCTCCCACCTGACTAGCCCCGAAGCCAGGCTACATGCATCCGAGCCTCAGCTTCCTCAACTGCAAAACAGACGTGACTCCCCTACGAACGAACAGGCACGTCATCAAACAGAAAATGCGACACGACAGGGCAGAGCCGGCACAGGTGTCAGGGCTGAGCGTGCAATCACAGAGGGCTCACACTGCCACTTTCTCTCCTTCGGTGGCACTCCAGCCCCTTTCCCTTGGACACGTGTTTGTTGACTAGGCTGCCCTTCCACACGACTCCCACGCTGCCTTGCTGTTCACCCCGAACCACCTCCCCAGTCCTGCTATAAGCAGCTAATTGGCGGTAACAGTGGGAAGGGGGTGGCACAGCAGAGGCACGGTCTTCCTGGGTCTGAATCTGAGCCTGCCCGCACCACAGGTCTTTCCCGAGAGGCTTCTTAGAAAGAATTGTTGATTTTAGCCCTGGCTGGTGTGGCTCAGTGGACTGAGTGCCGGCGTGAGAACCAAAGGGTCACCAGTTCAGTTCCCAGTGTAGGGCACAGGCCTGGGTTGCAGGCCTGGTCCCCAGTTGGGGGCGCGTGGCAGGCAACCACACATTGATGTTTCTCTCCCTCTTTCTCCCTTCCCATCTAAAAATAATAAGTAAAAACACTTTAAAAGTAACTAAGTAAAAAGAATTGTCTATTTTAAAGGTTGTACCACAGTAATAACTACAGAAAGATACACTCTCATGCACAGCAGCTGAAAGGGGTGCAGCCACCCGGGTGCCTGTGACCGTCGGGGGGTTACGGCTCCCCGACCCCAAGGAGGGGAGAGGCACCACGCCGCTCTGTTAACGCACCAGTGGTTCTGGACCATTTATTAGTTCTGAAGGGCGACAGCTGCTTCGAAGCTTTGATTAAAATTATGTAAACACCAACATTACAAAATCAAACTTTAAAAAAAAATCGCTGGGCTCTTCAAATTACAAATGATGGTCAATCTCCGAAAAGATCGAGACCCAGGCTTTTACGTAAACAACCTTCCCTGCAGCCGCCAGGGTCAGGGAACCACAGGAAAAAGGGGCACAGATACACTAAAGGAGGGTCTACGTTTTAAGACACGGGCAGACCCACAAGGTCAGGAGGCCAAATGCTGAAGTTTCGTGTGGAGCACTTTCCGTCTTTTTGGCCAGACGGTCCATCAGCGGCCCCTGCGGTGGACACTGCAGCAGGCCACTCGTACCACCTCCCCAGCCCCACGACGCTCCTTCCTCAGGCACCCAGAATGCTGCAAGCCACGGGCTCACGGCTGAGTCCCCCCTCAGGCACCGTCCTGGGCCCAGCAAGCGGCCTCGTCCGAGGCTGCGTTCCCTCCTGGAGGGCGGTCCACACCCAGTAACTTGCCCGTGCCTAGACGCCACGGCCTGGCCCCCTTGCCTCCGTTCGGGGCCTCTCGGAAAGGCCAAGCTACCACCTGCACATAAACCTCCATCTCGGAGCCCATTTCATAAAAACCCGACCTTCGTTCCCTCGAGGCGACAGACACATCCACAGCAGTAACTGTGCGCAGCAGGTTCCCAAGGGGTCTCCTGCGCAGCCCCGGGAACGTCAGGTGACGCGCTTCCCTCTCCGCCGCTCACGGAGACGTAAGGCGTGCAGGTAAAGCAGTCACATCACCATACCGCAAAAATCCCCAAACAAAACACTGGCGCAGCTTCAAGGGTAAGCCAATCATTCATAAACTTCGCTTTGTTATCACTGGTAATGTATCACTTGGGAAATACCTCACTAAAAATTGAAGTTATGAGCACGTTGGACCTTGTGGTTGGAAATGCAACTCTTTCATAGGCACCCGTGACTGGACGGAAGTCAGAGCCACGTGACGGGCAGGAGCGCTGGCCCCGTCACCACGTTTGCCCGAATGGCAGCAGCACAGTGCCTGAAGCACTGGCCTCGGTACTTCCCACGGGTCACGAATGTGAGTGAGAAATGTTACTTCCCACCAAGGTGTGCAGAAATGCCTTGTAGTATGTAAAAGGTGCTACCGGACTTCCACCCAGGCTGCCGTGGGGCCCAGCCGTCCGAGAAGGTACGGGCCACGCTGACCAAGTCTCTGCTGTACTGGCTTAAGGACACAGAAATCGACAAGATGACATTTCAGAAGAAAAGATATTCCACAAGAAAGAGATTAAAGACACTGGAAATACTACTACAGGAAAACTTGGTCACGCTATAAAAATGCCAATGTGATGAAAATGTTTAGAGAGAATAATTTCATAGTAATAGCCCAAGCAAAGTAGGAAGAGACAGATTTATGATCCAGAAGACCAATAAATTCAAAATGCTAACATTTCTAAAACTTAAGGAAAAACATCTCTTTAGTAATATATTGTACGAGGTGACTTTTAATTCCTTAATGGCGCAGGTATGTGTTCTCTCTCTCTGCTCATGACTCCTGTCCCGTGTTACACATCAGAATGATCTGTGGAGTTACAAAACTGCCCATGGTCTCTCAGACCTTGGCCCCAAATTTCCGAGGGTGGGCTCAAGCATCTCTTCCTCAGAGACCCTCACACATACTAACAGTTGAGAATCACAACCCTAAATTATAGACAGATATAAAAATCAATTCTTTCTCAACCAAGACAAAAAAAAAAAAAAAAAACAAAGAAAGAAAGAAAAGAAAACCCACAAAGGGGTCAAGTTACTTTGTTAATTCAAAGTCAGTGAATACTAGATTTTCCCAAAGTCTACTGGACTTACTCCAAAAATGCTAAGAGAAATTGCAAATAGATCCCTCCCGAGGGAGGCTGATTTGTACTCCTATGTGCTAATGTAAGACTAATTCTGTAAATGGATTGGTTTTGTGCCTTACTGTTAGAAATTCAATCTGGCTTCTCTTGT